GCCTTGTCAATCGCTGCTTCCACTGTGTCCCCAATCGGACAACCTTGTCCGCAAGGAAATGCAAATTCGTACAAGTCCCACCCAACATCTCTTGACGGGTCCGCTCCCACTCTGCTTGCCGTGACGCTGATGTGAGTGGACCATTGATTGAGGGAGGCCTCCACGTTCAACGTGGGTGTTTGCTCATCATTCGCCACCCACTCAGCAACCCGTAATGTGACAAGTCCTCGAACCTCGGTTCCAACAACTCTCATATCCTCAACCGCCAAACCTTCCTCAAGTGATGCAACCCCACTCTCTTTCCCGGGAAAGTCGCTGAATGAGAGTATATAGTAAGAGAAATTTCCATCATTGCCCGGATTTTTGCCGCGGATGGTCACCCGGGAAATGACTTGTTCTCTAGAGTACAATACTGTCTTGTTCTTTTCTAGGCACAGACGAACGGAATTACGAGAGATAGAAGTTTTGGGGGGCGGCGTGGTGCAGCTGGGTCGTTTGTAGGCATTCGTTAGTGGAAAGCGAGGAATGTCAGTGAGCGTTACGGATGGAAAGTAGTAGGACATGTTTGCGTTAGAAATCTGTCTGGTGTGATTGGATGCTCCTGCAACACTGCGCAACCTAAGTACCTCTTTCCATTCCTATAAAGACAAAAATGGTGGAGCAAAAGATGGCGACGTTCACACCCAAACGGTTGCGGAACCTCGGAATTACAATCCGTTCAAAGTTGAATCGTCTTCGCCATCATTTCAATTTGCAGTCTAAAAATAGGGAGTCCGCGATCCCGTTCTCCACCGGTGTCGATCGTGGTCGATCAAGGTCGATCATTGTTTGAATAGTTAAATACTTTAAGGGTGCGGGATGGAGGTTGGGCATCGCCACAGTCAAATGATACCATTTTGTATTCACTTTGGTGAATAATCCAGACTCAGGCTGTTCGTCGGCGCGAAAAGCATTGCATCAACGGACTACAGTACATTTCAAATGACGATTCACGTCTAGAAAGAATGCAAAGGAAGAATGCAAACGAGTACTCATACGGGAATGATGTGTTTCATATCAAAAAACTTGTACACAAAGGAGAGACTATTCGGTCCCAATAAAGTTCCAACTATAATCTAAACAATGCATTCTGACTTCCTTTCTACTATACAAAACGGCCCCCAGCCATCCTACTCGCCTTCACAGAAGGGGTATAAAAACCAAGCGAAAAACAAAAAAGATAACTACAAAGAATGTTGGGGGGGCAAAATGGATATCAAAAACAGACTAGATACATTCAACTACAGATCTTCTCATGCCAAAATCGATTTGGCTTGACCATCAAGCCCATCTTGATAGTCTCCAACCCAGCTAGCATCAAAGCTACTCCGAGAGGGAACCGGTGCCATTGCAACCGATTCCGCCATACTCAAAACGCTCGAGACGGAAGTTGCCGAACTCCTTCTCCTGCGCATCCGACCAGCAGAGCGCAAGATGGCATGTCGAACAAGATGTGATTGCTGTGCAGCGGACACGAGTTCCGCATGAAGCTCTGAGGCAAGTCCGCGGAACACATGCGTAAGTGTCGTTGATGCAGCACGATGTTCGGTAAAATCATGGCAAGGTGCCCAAACACCTCCCATAAACATTTCAAAAAGCGGTGGTTGAACCAATTCCACAACCACATCCGCATCGTAGACGGATTCATCCGCAGGTGTGAGAGAGATCCCCATAAGAGTCGCAAAGGGAATGGAAATCCTCACATGAGTAGCGGGTAAATCCGTAATGGTAGTTCGGATACACTGGGTCCCAAAGTGGAATTCCGTAAAGACGGTCATCTCTGTCGAATAGGACATGCGGTGCCATGTTCCGATCGTGACTGCGTCGACAGAGAGGGGAATCGTTGGGAGGAGGATGGGAATGGTAGATTTGGTGTTGAATGGGCTCGGGAGAGGAGATGCTACTGGAGAGTTTTGGAGCGGGGACGGGATGCTGGGTGTGCTTGTTGGTGATGCTATGGGTTGAGAATTTGAGGCGACGACAGTGGATCCAAGAGTGACTGACTGTTGTGGTTGAGATATGGCAACTGGCCCAACTGAGGGAATCCCGCGAGAAGCGAGTGTGGGATCCATTTGCGGCCACACGGCTTGCTGGTTTGACTGCTGTGGTTGCAATTCCTGTTGCGAGAGTTGTTGCGGCGGCTGCTGCTGTTGTTGTTGTTGTTGAGCATGTTGCTGTTGCGAGAGTTGTTGCTGTTGTTGAATCTGAGGCTGTTGCAACAGTGCATTCAAGGCGCTCGGTAACATTGAGCGGATAGCGTTTGACCCAGGCATGAGCGCAGCAGCTGCAGTCGCGGAGAGTGGGTTGGCCACAATTGGCCTCTTTCCATCAGTTCCGGGTCTCATAACGGCAGAGGCAGCAGCTTGTAGACAAGCCATACCACGCAACTGCCTCAATCGCGCTCTCTTTTCGTTCAACTTGACTTTGGCTCTCCGATTTTGGAACCATACTTGAACAGAGCGCTCCGTCATGCCCAACCGCTTGGCCAATTCGGCGCGCAGTCGTCCTCGAGGCGAGGTATTTACTTTGTAAGTTTCCTCCAAGATGGCAAGCTGTTCGGGAGTCGCGCGTGGCCGACGACGTGGCTTCTGCGGTGTTTTACCTGTGGTAGTCATCTCTGTTGATGTGGACGACATTTCTAAAGCTTTAGGATTTGGCTCATCAACCTCTTCAACATCGGATTCCATATCGTGGTCGTCTAGGTCATCAACTGGCTGTTCCTCGTGATCTGACTGGGACAAAGCCTGCGCAGCAGGCTGTTCAGGATTTGTCGCGCCCGTGGTCGACTCGTATATGGGGGTCATTCGATGACTATCAAAGAACTGCTGCATGTCGGGAGCCTGGGCACTAGGAAATGTGTTGACGGGGAACGAGAGGAATTGCTGGTTCATCAGCAGATCTCCCGGCGTAAAAAGTAAAGACGACATTGAATGAAAATGCCAAACTCGGATCTAAAAGACTGCAAAGACCGCCACAATCCCAGAAAAAAAAGGAAAAAAAAAGCCAACTCGGTATGCGTCTGGAGTGAGTCGAGCGTGTCTTTAATGGACGACGAGGAGGAGGCGAACCGCGAGACGCGTCCGAGAGCAAGGCGAGGATTTAAACGAGAGGGGGATACAGCGGAGATCAACGACCCTTATGTCTTTAACAACAGCTCTTTTTCCCTGCCAACCAAAAGTCGTCCGTCGAGGTTTTTTATTTTTCTTTTTTATCTTTTTCTTTTCTACAGATGCTTTTTGACAGCACTACGTGATCGCTCTTGGAGGCGGTCGCGGTGGCTTCCGTGGTTGGAAGACAAAAACGGGGGATCGGACGAACCTAGCGCACGGTGGTCGGCCGATGGATGCCGGTTGTTCGTGCGGGTTTGCGAAAGAAAGCCACGCGACAGCTCTTGCTCAAGCCAACAAGAAAAGTAAAAGACTATTGGGAATGAAAAGACAATGCAATAGGTCAAAAAGTCAAAAAAAAGACATACGAAAGTGATGTCGCTTTTTTAAAATCGTTCAAAATTCTTTTTTGTCTTTGGAGGCGGGCAGCGTCCAGCTGGGACGGGGGGGAAATGCTCATGGAACGCTAACTCATATGTCACCCAGTATCGCCGCGTGGCCCTCCGGAGTTCAAAACAGAAAAGCCTTTTGAACAGCCTCGTTTACTTGAGGCAAAACCCCGGCAAGTAGGCGGATTAAGAAAGATCTAGCGCATTTTCCGGTGGTTTTTTTTTTTTTTCTGTTCTCTTGTTCTGTTACGGGAGTTACGGGAGAATCTCTGGATGTATTTTTTTTTTTGGACGTTTGGATTGAAACTCGCCTCCAAACACAATCGAGATATCTTACGGGGGTTGACAGTTAAGGGTCTCCCAGTAGGGGGTTACCCTAACTCCTTTTCAATTTCTGACACAAGCAGCGACCCGTAAGTTGACAAGACCCCAAATTCCAACTACGCCAAACGCTTGCAAGACGGAGCCCACCGATCTGCCGTTTTTTGGGAAACCAGTCAACGGCCAACGGCTGTGTTTTGTGCCAAATGAAACTGACACAGTGCAACGAAACAAAAAAAAATTATTTATCAAAACCTTTACGCTACACATATTTAATACGCGTGTAACAAATCTAATAATTCGCGACCACCTGGTTGCGGAAGGGTGGCGGCGGCAAAGACGGGTGGCCGTCCCCAAAGACTCCAAAAGTAGGAGGGGTCTTCATTAAACTACTATTACAGCTACTACATACGCAAGGGGGAAGATCCCTGAATAGACGCGGAGAGACTCCGGAGATTGCCGTGTGTATTCCCCACATGAACGTGAATTTTGGACCCTCCAATACGTTCAACAAGGCAAGATACGTGCACACAGAACACATAGACGCACCACAACACGCACACGCACACACGCATACACGCACACATACACACACACAAAACGACTGTGCGTGTGCGTGCTGCATCAGGAACTTGGGTCCGCTCACTTTGTCACGCTGAGCACAACACCCGACACACACGGCGTTCGGAGTTGGACGAGGCATATGGCACTTTGGTACAAGGGTCTCTAAAAGGTAAACGAGCAAAAAACCAAAACAACGGATTTGTACCTTCCGCGGGGAGAGGTGTGAGCGTTCGGAACCATACACCCTGTTACAATTTACCGGCAATTTTGCCGCGGCAATGAAATCCGAACAGAGGGTAAATTATAGGGTCCAGGCAGCACTTGCCGCGTTTCAATGGGAGACAAATCGTATAAGTTTCAGCGCATGGACGACGTTCACAACGCGAGATTGGCTCAGTCGGTAGAGCGTGAGTCTCATAATCTCAAGGTCGTGAGTTCGATCCTCACATCTCGCAATTTGCGGTCGGGTATTGTTTTTTTGCCGTTCTGCAGTCTTGAGGGCCTACCGTCTGGCATCCTTGGACATGTCCGCTGAATGGACCAAAGTTTGATACCCCCATCTTGAATGGACCGCCAAGTCAGAGGCTGGCGTTGTGGAGTTTTATTTTGTAATACGTTCATTCCGTTCTATTTTGCAGTGTAGTACCATCAGGCATCGTCCCTCCAACACATTTTTGTGTCGTGTGGGCATGGGTGGCTCCTGAATGGTCCTTGCATAAACGATACTAGTTCACTTGTTTGACATTGCTGTGAGATCATTGCTGTTGTCAACCACCCTGACGAATTGCATAATGTTGATTGATACGCGTTTGAGCGCACAGAGAGTTCGGTCCATATCTCCTTCCCAATGTTTCGAGGACTACCAAGGGATAATGATCGACAAAGACATTGCTTCAAATAGAAACGACTTTTTTAACGAGTGCTGACAGAGTGTGTTCAACGGCAAGAAACCCTTCCACCAGGTTGCATATTGATCGTGTTTAAATCGGCCATCAGGGGCTACATAATCTGACAGCAAGAGTGCGAGTCCAAGATCACGACTCAATCAGGCCGCATTTCACACATTTGAGGAATCAAGTTGGTGGTTTGGCTCGGAAAAGGATCAAATTCGCAATGTGTGATAGAGCATTCATGAGTACCTTCCCTGCATACAAATCCTTACCATTGCCTTCCACTGAGCCTTAATATCGGGTTAACTTTATGAATTCGATAATGCTCGATGTGGAGAGTTCTCTCACTCTTTAACGCCTGCTACAGGTTGGGGAATTCTACTGGCCTGTTGTAGAGATATCTGGGAGGGCTATTCTGTCACCCACCCAGATCCCGCAATCCTGTAGTGTGCCGAGGCTATTCAGTCAGTAGCACTATATAGATTTCTCCGCAGCTGACCGTACTTCAATTCGGCGTCTAGCGCAAGTGGGATGGATTTTGATGCAGATTGGGGCGGCAGTCAGATCTAAAACCCCGTAGCACTTTCCTGCAGCGATTCGTCTGAAGGACTTTAATAACTACCCCTTTTTTTACATGAGCCACGGTTATATATTTTGCTGGCCAAATGTTATCAAAGTGTAAAGCGCTTTGTTGATGTCAACACCAGTAGGTTGCAAGTCTTATCTTGTTTATGTTTATATCATATTGTGTTCCGCGCTTTCAACAATTAGCAGTTCGGCGACTGTCCACCTTACTGTTGTCTTGACGGATCCATTAAACATCTTTTGATTCGGACTGTAACATTTGTAAGGGAAGCTTTCATGACGAAATGTACCATCGCTAAACCAATATGGGAATTGGTACGTTTTCGGGGTTTGTGTACGCTGATCAGCCGTGTACTAGTATCACACTCTTCACATGCCCCACCCACCCTTCTTTTTCCTTTCTGAAAACGCAAAGTTATGACTGTATTCAGTCCAAATACTCCTGTCAGATGCAAACCTGCAACGGGAACGAGGAGGGTGCCTGTCACGTCCTCACATTAGGTTTATGGATTTTGCTTCTACATGTCGTTTTCAGCATGTTAAAGTTTCAAAGGTATTACGATGAAAATGTGTGTCATTTGGTTTCCTTCTCTTTCCTAGAGGAACCTCAAGTGCACCAGACGGAACTGACCATCAAGCAAAGATGGAGTAAAAGTGAACTGCAAACATGTAAGTGCGAGATGTGAGGATCGAACTCACGACCTTGAGATTATGAGACTCACGCTCTACCGACTGAGCCAATCTCGCTTGGATTTGTCTCAAAAACGATGTGTTTGAGCAAGATGACATATTTGCCAAAACGCTTCAGGGGCGTGTGTAGCTAGTATCAAGTATTTCATCGGACAGATAACGGGAACACAGCAGGAACACTTGTCCGATGGACACTTCGAGTCGAGTTGTACTAGTAGACAGTGAAAAAGTAGATGGGTAAAGAGGATCAGCATTGCCGTCCAATTACTATTCATCATTTCACTTTACATTATAACAATTCTCTCGACTGTTGTATCCTCAGTGCGGAGGCGAACCACGTAATTGAAGGTGAATTCGCATAGGATCGGTTTTGTAAAGCTGTGCAAACTTTCATGACGTCTTTGAGTAGTTTACCTGCAGTTTCTCCTTTCATTCGTCATCATCATGCATGTTGCCCATTTTGGAACGCAATCACTCTTCGAATATTTCTTCCAAGCACACAAGCGGTCATCTTTGGTAACAATTAGCCGGAGGGCGTTGTTATCAGGATATCAACCAAATGTCATAAACCTTGCGCGACTCGTTGATCTGCATTTCCTTCACCCACGAGAATATTTGTAGCAACCATGGCATGAACCTCCGAGTGAAAGCGCCACGACTGTAACGGGGATGAGTGTGGGGATATCAGTGAATATTGTGTGAAGGATTTAGAAGAGGGAAGACGACATTTATAGAGACGACGCCCAGAACGCGCGAAGTCGAACGACTGCAACCGAGTTGAGAGTGTTCCAAAGGTCATTGCAAGCAGCGCGTAGCATTCCCATGTTTTTCCCTCTGGCATTACTCAACCGTCATTGCTGCTAACCAGTCCTTTCATGTGTGGGCGTAGAGATATTAGATCATGTTGCTTGAAAGGTTCAACCGCAAAGATAGATACATCACCTACGTATGGATATGTACACAAAGGAGATTTCCCTATCCAATGCTTTCATCTGTGATTACCCTGTTTGTTAGTGCGTATAATACCTGGCGACCGTGATCATCACCACAGTCTCTTTGTGGAAAGATCCAAGCCATGGTTATGAGAGTATACTGTGCGGGAGGGAGGTAAGAATATGGAAAAATTGAAACTGATAAAGTTGCAGGGCCAGAATTTTAGCCACAAAATGAGATGAGGTGTGAATGCAGGTATATCAGCGCATTTTCTGCGGAAGAGCGAGGTAAGAATTTGAACAAGTTGAAACCGATAAAGTTGCGCGGCCAAGTGAGTTGGGTGTGAATGCAGGTACATCAGCGCTTGGTCGATAACAATACGACCCAAGTTGAGGTGTGGGTGTGGGACTGTCACTGTATCGCGTGGTATGCGGAGGGTGAGTAAAACCGTGAGGATGGGCAACACAACTTACCAGGCATGGACCGCCGAGGTTAAAACCTATGCAAAAGTCGCACGATGGGAATGCGAGTTGATCTGTGAGCACAGGGATATTAGAGCATGTTGTTTAGAAGAGTATGTTGAAAGTTTGAGTTTGTGTCGAGGGTTTACACTGGAGAGTATGCACACAATGACAACGAAAAATGTACATTTCTTGAATCTTGACGCCGTGCTAGTTCGGAGGCAGCGTTATCTTTTCCGTCAAATTAAATGCTATAGGAAGTGCCCCTGGAGCAAAGTCAATGATGAGGAAAAGTATATCGTGAGGTTAAAAATCTAAAAGAAAAAGAAAAGACATTCTCTACGGTTTCTGGCTCGGCACAGTGCCCTCCCTTACCCAGCAGCATCAGTGAATCGTGTGGAGGAGATGCTTGGCAGGTCCGCCAGCTGCTACTCAATATTGAAGCTCTGCGTCAGATTCTAGCTATCAGACAAAAAGCAGAAACGAGTAGCGGATCGACAAGATGGTATCGGATTCAGCAATCTGCTTGATGCACACATC